AAGGGGGGGGGGGGGGGTTACTCTCAACGCGACCAATCTATCTCTAACCTACGCCCAAAATCTAGTCGCCCTCCGTTCGCCACGCCGGTGTATACTTGACTCAGTAGCCTCAACTCTATCCACCCACTTCTACTATAGGATGGGCCGGGGAGAGGCAAAGGGGAGAGGGGGTTGAGGAACTATTTTCCGACCGCGAACGCAACGCACAGATCAACAACAGCCACCACGCAGCAGGCGCGGACCCAACGTCGGCGAAAGCCAATCGCCACTATTCATCTGCTGTTGCTGTGTTTGCAGCGTTCTGGTGCGAGCTAGCTAGCTAGCTGCCTTCACGTCCGACGCGGATCAACCGGATGCCAACTTTTGGTTGGGGCAAGATTGGCGGTGTCTTTCGATGAGAGAGAGAGAGGATCGACGGAGGCGACTTCCAAATCCAAACCACACCAGCCGAGGAGGCAGAAGAGGCACGAACACAAATACATACAGAACGCAGTGCACGGTTGCATGCTGGGGGACGGAAAGGTGCGCTGCAACTTCTCTCTCCGTACTCTCTCCCTCTCTCTCTCTGTACGTCTGTCAGTCCATATGCATCATGACGTCTTCTGCCTGCCTGGCTCTCTTATGTCCACCTGGGTGAATGCGTTTCTCTGTCCCTTTCAGCGTGTCGCCAAAGCCTTCCTTGGACGATAACCTAAAGCACGACTATTATATCCTCGCCACAGATCTCTCTCTCACCGTCCTCATCAGGGTCGATGATCGACCAGATGGCTGCAAACGTTCCCCCCAGCCAACCCTCGTCGCGCCCCGTGAACTCCGGTATGGTCTTGATGAGTGCCCGCACGATCTCGGGTCGCTCCAACGATCCCGATTCGTCCTTTGGGAAACAAAAGGAAAACGACAAGTGGAGGACAAAAATTACTGTTGAGCTGAACAAAAAAAAAAGGTTTCAAGAACACCAGTACAGCAAAACCCAACACCCGCCACGACCACATATCGGAAGAGATACAGCTAGCAAACAAGACGACAGCAGCAACAGTAACAGCTGACGCAACAGCGACGACATCAACGGCATCCGCGATGGCACCAGCGACAGAAACAGCGGTGCAACAGGAAGACAAGGGGGTGGGACAGTTACTTTTCGTGGCTACAACACTGCTGTCTTGCTTGACGAGGAACGCGCAGACCTGCCTGCGACACCTCCACCTCCCTACACTCTGCAGCCGTACACCAAACTGTCCTCTCGGCTGCCCGCAACAACGACCATCCACATCTCTTCCTCAGCAGGAGTCGCTATGGACGCCATTCCCGTCGGCGTATTGGCATCGAGAAGACACGACAAGCACGAAACACTAAATAAGGGGCTGGCCTGACCTCATCCCAGTACTTGAACCACTCCGCCGGTTGATCCTTGAGATCGGGTAGCTGGGGAGTGATCCTTTGTCTCATGTTGCCGAGGGATTGCGCCAGGAACGGAGCTAGCCTGTTCCGAAACTCAGCAGTGTCTGTGATTTTTTTTGTTTCCGTTGCGACGAAGGCGGCCAAGGGGGGGGGGGGGGGGGAGGGAGGGTTTCCGCATATGAGTAAAAACCGTTTCATGAGGAGGTACTGTAATTTGAAGCCGGAAGCCGAGAGCAGGAAAAAGAGCGACGTTTGGGAAACAGTTACATATTGGATCACCAAACTACGAAGTAAGACAGCTGAAAAAACAAAAAGGAAGAACGAAAATGCGACAAGGACACTCAAACGGCGTGCGCGCTCGCACATACCAGCGATGGTCTCACTCCACAAGAGTGGCTAGCGATCTCGCGGGTGCTTGCAGAAATATACGGATATTTTTTCCTTCCAGTACACGCGAAATGTCGCAGACGCCTTCGGGTCAATTTGTTGCTGTTTCATCATGCACGATGAAATTATTGGTCGGTTCGCCTGCCACCCCGGATATGTATCGAAAGAAAAAACTGCTTGACAGTTGAGTGAACTGCAAGAACAGTCGCGCTTCTGGCTGTCAACGAGGTCACTTCGCTCACCTTCGTCAACGTGCCAAGGCACGACAACCCCACGACGACTATTGAAACAACCTCTTCCACGTGCTAACCTAAAAAAAAAGCACTGCGCCCACGAGCACAGCTCCAACAAAACCCACGTTCCGCCCACCTAGCGTCCCGTTGTTGTCCGTGTCCCAACTCCTCCAGTTCATCTCAATAACTTCCTCCAGAGCTCCTGGCTCGACAGGGAACATGCCCTTCAAGGCATCCACCAGCTCAGACTTCTCGATCGAGCCGTTCTGTTCCCGTCGTGGGTGGTTTTAGGAACGAAGACGCAGACAGAAAGCGAGAGAGACGCAGGAGCGAGTTTACAGACGAGGCTACATTTGTACATGACCAACAGGCAGAGGAGAGGGACTCTTAAGGGGACAAAAGCCACAGAGAGGATATTCGCACTACGTTCGGTGGGGTGTTGGGAAGTCACAACCTTCGACGGAGGAACCCCACCGCCACCTTATCTCTTGGAGAGCACAGAATTCTCGTCATACGGGTATAGTCTAGACGGATAACGAATGCCAAGATCCTGTTCATCTTCTTCGTCTACGGATTCCCCGCCCCATGCCTGCAGTGCTTGTTTGCGGTTCGCGGGGATGCTCCTGTGTCTGACGTGTGTAGCCTCTGATAGCATGATACCTCGCCCCTCCTGAAAAAAAAAAACACTTGGATGCCTTGTGGGTGGGAAGGGCTTGATACATGTACTACACGTTCGCGCTGTTTCCGGCTTGCACACACCAATCTGCAACATCCCTGGAATGCATATACGTATGTGTACAAGCACAAACCTTTTACATACACGTGAGCCGTCATGGTCTCCCGCCAAAAACTCCTGTCTTTCCATTTAGCCAAGCCAAGCCGGATAGCGCAGTCAATGCTAATTACCCCCCCCCGAAAATCCCGACTTTTAGAAGCGCTTTCCGCTTTTCGCTGCAACGAACCTGACGTGTGTTTTTTTGGCCAGCCGGTTAGGGCGGTCGATGCCAAGAAGAGAAACATGATACAAAAACATACAGCCACGCACACATATACGCAACTGGGGGGGGGCGTACTCTTATGTTTTGCATGCCTTAGCGGTTAGACCATTGACCACGCGTCCTCGAGAGGACGGGGCATTGTTCCCACAGGAACGATCACCGATGGCCAATCGTTCCTTCCTACTTTGCCGAAGGTGGCTCAAATATGTCTTCCCTAGTCTATCCTACCGATATCACTTCCCGCCTGTTCAACCCACTTCCTATGCCCCAATACAGCTAACGTGTTCTCCTGGCTATCACATGCCTCAAACATCTCCTTGTACTTTTCTCCTACTTTTCCCAGCTCAGTCATGTACACTTCCCTCTCCTTCTCGTACCACCGACATTCCGCGACTACATGGACTGGGGGGGGGGCACATAATTGCCTCAATAAAAACACTCTCGTTTTTCATTCCCACTGAAACTCACGTCTGTTCATTGGTCAGCAGGTTTGCGCGGTCGACGCTAGTTAACAAAAAAACACAAGCACGCACCTGGTCACGGTCGACGACGTGGAACCATCGGACCGGGTCCGTAATCGGGTCGGGCACGTCCAAGGTCGATACGAAGTCCCTCCGGCACACGGGACACTTGCGCGGAATGATGGTTGGTGCACACTGCGGGCCAACAAAAGACGATCATAAATAGAAGGGACATTCCTTCTTTTAACAACAAAATTCATCCGGGACTTTTGTCAGAAAGTGTTTTAGGTTCATGTGAGGAGTTGGGACCTTCATTCCCTTCTTCGCTTGGTTCATTGAAGGTGTGCGCCTTGTTTTCGGTGTACAGCACACCTTTTCACACACTGACATTGACATTGGTTTCTTTGCAGAGGAGGCGAAGGGTGGGTGGGTGGGTGGGTGGCCCGATCAAACGGTCTGTAGTGGTCAAGCACATCTGATGCACCTACTCGAAGCATCGCTCTCATCCCTCGGCACCGACGACACGCGTCCCGGAACAGAGCGGCTGGTAGACAAGAGCGCTTGCCTTGCTGCTGAGGCGGACTGGAATCGATACATGGGCAAAACAACATCGTAACAATGTAATAATGATGTGTCCTCCTATTGCTGCATCTCCAGAACTACGGGTCGTCCAAGGCAGCTAATACCATTCTTAGGGAGTGCGTGCGAGTTGCCCGCCATAGGCCCGCATGCAAAGGAGATCGGGTCTGAGACGGCGTGAAAGATGACTGGCTTGGGCCCGGATTTTGCGGGCCAGGGCCTCAGCCGCAGCCTGCAACAGGATAACCCAGCATAGCAGATCCGACCGTACTGGCATATCATGCAGATGAATGCGTCAGGCCCTACACTGAAAAATCACGTCAGGTTGGGGCTCCGAAGACCATTCATGGGCACCCGCCGCAGCTGACTCTTCTCTAACGTAAATACACTCGGTAGAAGTTCCCGGAAATTTCCGTCTTGATTTGAGAGTGTGTGTGGAGGTCAATCCCGTCAAATTCTGGAGGAGACAAGCCAAAAAACGACGCTTTGTGGGAAAACATGAGGAACGAGATTTTGAGTGGTTCGGCCCTCTCTCACCAGTGGTCTCAGCGAAGCTAATGATCGAGTACCTACTTTTTGTCTGAGAGGGGGTGGTGCCAAACTTTTGGCCATTTCCCTTTTCGCAGCCAACGTTCTTCAACTGGTAAAAAAACACGTGAAAGGTATGCAGCCTTGGTACGTAGATACAAGGCTCCCGCGTGAGCGATGAGAGCAGAGCAAGCGCGCAGGGATGGCGCGAGATGAAAATATTGTATAAAAAGCTTGTACTGGTGTGACTCATCCTGCCGTGAACCATGACGTCTGAGAGATACAGCAGAGCGAGGTTGCAACGCGACCTGTATTTCGGGTGGAAAGAACGCATGGCGTGCGATGCGAAAGTTGTGAAGGGGTGGGTCACGAGGAGGAGGGAAAAATTCGTGCCCGCGATTGAGATCTCGCTGTATCCTGCGTACAGAACCCTTCACCTCAAGACCCTCGTTACCTCTCAGGGAGGTTGGCTACAATATTGATATTAAAACAATTCCCAAAAGCGACCGAAGACCACGGTAGATTCTCATTCTAGTGTAGGAAGCCTTACGATCAAGTGGACTACGCTAAACCCTATTGCGTAAAGCTGGAACTTCACTCCCGGGCGACCTCATCTATGCTACAAAACATCGGGCGCGTTCGGTTGACCGAACCTGAAGTGTTGGAATGTGAAGCGTGTGTGTTTTTTTCACTGATTTTCTTCTTATTTTTTTTTATTTGTCCTGAGAACCAGCAGGATTGGTTGCCAGCACCGCCGTGAAGGAACTCTTCGGCACAGCACTACAGTAACGGACGGGTACGTTCATCGGGTTCTCAAAAAAACAATTACTACACTTGTTGCCCCGTGTGCCTTCGGAGGGAGAGACCCACAAGTGAGAATCCACGCGCAAAACGGTAAGGAAGGATCTGACGAACGGCGGTCTGCGGGGAAATCGCCCCGGTCGGTGCTTGGTTGCTTTCTTCGAGAGAGCCGAACGTGTTTGCTCCGTCGGCAAGCCACAACAGTGATCCGCACGAACACGGTCGTGATTTGATCACATGTAGCCCTCATCATTTTTATTTACGGAGGGGCGCACAGGATACAGCCGCAGCAGGGGAAATATGCAGAGGAGCAAAGCACAACACATTTGTCAGTTGCTGCCTGCGCACACGTGGACTCATCTTCAACTTTGGAAAAGCACTCGCCAACAACACCACCACATTGCGACAACGGTGTCTATGCGCCCGCTATTGAGAAGGGCTATCCCCCACGCTCTTGGTTGAGCTCACGACGACAGCAGTTAGCTGCGCGGCATCGCACCTCTTGGCACAGGAAGTGGCGGCACACCCGCCTCGGCAGGCGCTCGGCGCGCAAGAAGCCAGCCTGCTGCCCGCTGCCGTCTACCATCACGCTCGCTCCCTTGGCGCAGAGATGTTCGAAGCAGACGCTGCACTCGCCGTACCCGGCGGCGATCTCCAGGTCCATCGTGCTCATCCACTGATTCTTGTTAGTGATTCTCTGCCTAGCAGCGAGGTGAGGAGGCTGACTGTGGCAGCGAAAGCAAAGACAAGAAGAGAAGGCGAGTACTGCCTATGCATGGGGCCATCATGCCATGCGCCACCCACAACACGGATGATATCCCAGCTGCCGACCCCCGGCGGCTCCGACATTGTCCGACACAGCTAGTCCGACACAGCATTGGCAGTGTCATTACGAAGGGCGCACTTGGAGAGAGAGAGAGAGAGAGAGAGAGAGAGGGGTCGAAAGAAGTACAGCAAGGAGGAACACAGAAGCGGGCGCACTCTCGAGGCTTTGCGATCGGGACCCCGAGGGCCGGGTGAAGAGGACGCTCGCTACAAGCCATCACCGAATCGCACCGCACCAGGACCAGCAGCACACATTCTTGAAATCGCGTCAAGGCCAAGCAAGGCGATATTGTTGATTATGGACAACAGCTACGACCTCCGATCGGCGCTCGCCGATGCGCTCCCCGCGGCGGGCCCTACCCGCGCCGCTGTGAAGGCCATGGACGACATCGGCTTCAAGGCCGACCCGAAGAATAACGACATGAAGGAGTTGTTCGTGGGTCTCGACATCGCGCAGCAGGAAGGCGGAGGATCAGCTGGTGGTGGTGCGAGGAGCCAGCAGGCGAAGGCGGCGGCGGCGGCAGCGGGGCCATCGGCGGCGCAAGTGCTGCTAGACTACCGAAGAGAGAAGAAGGAGGCGTGAGTGTGCCGGTGGTCGTTTGTGGTGTGCGGGGGGCGCTGCGGTCGTGGAATATCAACATGTCTATCACGAGGGCACAAACAACTGCTGTGATATTGATTGCGCTACATATGCACCCGTACAGTCAGTGTAGCAGTTTCAGTCGCGGCGCATCGAGCTTGTACGAAAGGGCCGTCGTACCCGTAAGTGTTCATGTTGTGTACAGCACCCAAGCACGCTTTTGGATTACAGCTGCTCCGCCTTTTCGATTGCCTGCTACCGGGTGTCTTACTTGTCGCCCTACCGTTATGGACAATCATACAGCAGTATCGACCTAAGGTATGCTAGCTTTTGGGATGTCAGTGGATCCGTAAACGGAGAGTAGTTGGGGGTGGGGGGGGGTGTCGGAGCGGCGTCGGCGTCGGCTGAGGCGATGGCAAGGGGTTGTCCTTCTCGCTAAAGCCTCCTTTGGGACGATGTATTGGACACAGCACAATGTCGCGAGATATTGGTAGCGTTTGCCCAGCCACCCACGGCGAACGTCGTTTTGGAAGCCGTCCCATGATCACATGCCAAACGTGGGTGCGCTACAATAGTTTCCACTTCTACAAGAAAATAACCGCCTGCGTGTGCCCTCCGCGCTTTGATATGAAACATGTCACCCGAGAAAAAAATCGCGAACGTGCTCGTCTGCACAGACCCACGATTCGCTTCTCCCCCCCTCACAACCGCACTACCACCGCCACCCCCACCAACGCGCAGGCAAGCGGCGGCGGAAGAGCAAGCGAAGAACCTGCTGGCGGCGGGCAAGGATCCGGCATCATTGAAACGCGCGAGTGCTGCTGCTGCTGCTGCTGCTGCTGCAGCCACCGCTGTTGGCGGAGGGGGGCTGGCGTGGGCGGCAGGATTAGCCAGCAAGGAGGTAGACGAGGCGGCGGAAGACGAACGGTACCTGCGAAAGGTACAAAATCCGGCGAAATATCTTCCTTGGCCTTCTTGACGAACTCTGGCTATACATGTGTGCTAAGCACTCGCGCTGTTATTTCGCACGCATTACACCGGTTTAGTTGAAGCACTGCATAAATACCTACCTGCCTAGCGTTGTTGTGGTGTGTCACGAATGGGGAAGGGCCGGCGCCACTCGAAATGTGCTGATTCAAAGCTTTGGCTAACTCATGTTCGAAGAAAGGCGGACCTTGTGGTGGGCTCTTCCCTCGTGGCTGCGAGTTGACGATTGGTGACACACACCTCTTCGCTCCTTCACCATAAATTGGGCATCCGCTCCGCGTGGCTGGAACGCAACAACATGTACAGAAGAGTCCACACTGGAGAACCTCTAAATTGGTCGGGGCTGCGGCTCTTGGTCCCGCCGGTGGGCTTCAATAGGCCGCTATATAGATTGTGGTGTAGGGCTTCTTTACCGGGCTCGCACGTGGTCCTCAATTCCTCGATTTCGAGTTTTGTCAGGCTCAATTTTTCTTAGCTGCCAAGTTATTATGCGCGGGCGTTATCTGTAGGTGATCAAGGAGAGCATACATGTTGGGCTAGTCGGGAACGTAGGTTGAAGCAAGACACGCGCGCCGAGTGCCTGCTAAGTCCAACTTGTATTTCAACAGCAAAACATTTATTCGTACGTGCCCATAAGGCGGGCGCATTTTTTTTTTTTTCATGTAGGGTGGTGCACCCGCGATCGTTGTCAACGTTCGATCAAGGCTGCCGTGAAGGCAGCATTAATGCTTGCTTATAGCTACTGTGGGTGGTTATGCCAAGTGTTTTTCCTCACCACACGGCAACGTCACCAGCAGTGTGCTTGGCGCGGAGGGCCATGGATACCGTCATGCCTTCGGAAACCGCAGATGGCATGAGATGCTCGTCATTTTCAACCGCTTGCATATTAGTGCGGTCCGTAAAATCGCCAAGGTTCATGTGTGAAAAATGCACATGAAAGTGTCCCGTCGTGTGTGGGATACATACCCCGCTTCCGTAAGCACACGAGGGCGAAAAATCTTCTGGTGAAGCAAACATCAGCGCTCAACGAAAACGCTCGCTCGATTCGATGTGCGTTCTCGCGGGTGTACGAAATGCTTACGAAAATGTTTTCCCATCACTCTCCCTCCGACACGAACCCCCTGCTGTACACGGACGGCGCTGAAATCTGTCGGTGCGTACTGCTGCAGGCGAACCTTTCCAAGACGGCCGCAAAAATGAGCAGCAAGCAGAAGCGGCGGCGAAAGCAGGGCAAGGAGCAGGGGACAAACTATGAAGAGAAGTATGCCGGGAAGGTGGTCAACAGGTCGAAGCGAAAGGGACGGATGCTCGCGATGAAGCAGATGTACTAGCCATGTGGCCAAGATAGTTCTGCTCTGGGTTTGGGGGGGGGTCGTAAATGATTCGATTTTAGCGCCACTATTCAGTTGACAAGTGTCGTACAAGTCGCTGTGTTTCCCAAGAGGATACTTGCTGGATGTATTTCTTCCAGGTTGTTTCCGGTCCGCGCTTGTGCCATGGTGTAGCTGTTTCGTTGATGTCGCAACTTTTCGTACTCTGTATTTTTTTCGTCGTAAGCCGCCGCATTTCGCCAAACGATCCTCAGGCTGGTGATATTCTAATATGGTGGATTGATGTACTTGCATATTCGGTGGGGAACTCCTCCTGCGTGACTTGCCCCGGCTGGCTGGGGCGTAAAATATATGTATGCCGAAAGGTGCATGTAGACTGGAGACCAGGATAGATGGGACGAAAAACAGAGGAAGTGTGCGTGTGGTAGCCGGGGTGAGGTCAACTGCTCGATCTGAGTGATGGGGCGGGTGCTCGCTATGAAAATCATGTCTCGATCAGGGATGGTTTGATGCCCAGGCTTCTCCAAGCGCGTGCGCTGTCGTGTCGACTTGCTTTCGTTGAAATTGCCGATTTATTTGCGTCTGTTTACGTGTGCCAGCCGTGATGTCGATCGACCCGAGCAATGGGGCTGCAGGATTCACATTCGCTGCGAATCGGTTGGGCCGAGTGGACGATTCCACGGTTGTGTTTTCCATTTGTGTACTGTTTAGTTCGGATCGGATTCACAGACCGATGTTTTGTGTTTTTGTATGTATTGCGTTTGCTGTTGTATGTTTCCGAAAAATAAAAATACTACGGTATTCGTTCAGCAAAGCGCCTTGAACGCAATCGTAACAATTCAGCCGCGAAGCACTTCGCCATTCTCCATGAACCAATCCTTTCACTCACCAACTCCGTCACGTGTTTGGGTGGTTGCGGGTGTGCTGCGCGTGATACGCTGGGCTGGCTCGATGTTTCGCAGCGTCGGTTCGTTACTCCTCATAAAATGTCGGAGCGAGATGCAGCAGTAGGTATTGCTGGGAAGCAAGCACCATCGCGGATTGATATCCTTTCGGGTGCCTGTGCGTGTTCCATCATAATTTTTTCACGAATTGTTGGGTGCGATTTTCAGCGGCATTCTTCTTGTTCGATGGGCTCTCTCAATTTCGGAAACTGAAAATACCCCTCATCTCGAGGGGTGCCTTCACAAACTACGGTAAACTATCATCACGCACGCTTGGTGCTTGTGAATATTTAAGTCTGTTGGTGCTCCAGTAACATTTTTGCTTACCTCGAGAGAATGCTACGGTACATAATCCGCAGTTATCGCAAAAATCCATTCGCAGGAACGGAGATAATGCACACAAGTGTGCTCAATTTTCACGGTATCTGGTCACGACGGATGCAATTTTGCACACGGTATGCATACGCAGTGCCCTGTTTCTTTTGCGATAATGTGGTTCTTAGGCGATTGATCGCCGCACAACTAACGTGTGCGCAACACACTCACCGAACATCACTTCCGTTAACCAAACCGCTCATTTACAAAAGAAGGCAACTGTAGAAGCCAGACAGCATTTTACCACTTCATTGCAGGCAGGCCTTCGCGGCCTCATGTCGACGACGTATATATTAGTAGTTTCACCCCTCCGCCATGAAATAGTGTCATCAGATCACCAGAGAGAGAACAAAATATCGAATTGAATGAATGCACGCAGCAGGCTCGCAGAACTCGTTAGTCAAATCGGTCGATCAGGTATCACAGGATCGAAGAATCAAGAAGAGGAAAAATGAAGAGAGAAACAGTGAAATATGTCACCGAAAAATACTTGTAGTATTATGTAGTATTGGTCTTGTGGAAATAGTACCGCAGAGAAATTAACGAGGACAGCCCCGGCCATATCAACGTTTGAACCTTCATCAAATATTCTTCGCATTTGGTGTTGTCACCGCGTATATATCGAATGGTGCCCCTGCTCTATTTCCTCGTCGGCTCTTACGTCAGAATGTACATGTTTATGCATACCCCACCCACGAAATTTCACTCCAGAGAGAATAAACACTTCAGATCAACCCATCCCCTTCGGTATACCCAGAAATAAGGAGGTTCCCCGCAACCATCATTGCAAAGAATTACTACGTAATTTCAGCACATGCCATAATATTTTTTCGGTGGATGAGGGGAATACGACTGTACTGGGTTACGGCCCGATTCATACATATCTGGACAGAAATACAACTACCATGATAGCAATGAAGGAAATTGAATGAAATCCACACTATCGTTTCCATCGGATGGGATCACCATTGTATGTGAAGAAAACGTCAAGGCAGTGGCTACAACATACAGTGAGTCGCGTGAGTCCGTGGAAAGCATTGCACACAGGGAACCATATATATATGTAATGGAGCAACTAGTGTATGAACGTTATATGATCATGACGTGGATATGGTGTATTTTCGTGAGTTGGTGTGACTAAGATTCCAACCCCCGTTCTCACTCTCGACTTGTGAGCGCGGAACGCGGGCTAGGTATGAAGAGGATAAAACATGAAATGCAACAACAACTATGAGTGAGCCAGCAAGGAGCAGCGGACTTGCTCCCTTCCCTTTTATTTCTTCTTTGTTCCTCCATAACACATACACACGCCGCTTGCTTTTGGGGGCATGAAAAGACATGCAATGACTGAATGGGAACACGATTCAGTTGCGAAAGTGAACATCATGGGAAACGAAGCAGGGCAAGATATTCTACGAATAGAAGTTAACCCAAAACAAGACTGCATCCAAAGTATGGACGAGAGAGAGAGAGAGAGAGAGAGAGAGAGAGAGAGAGAGAGAGAGAGAGAGAGAGAGAGAGAGAGAGAGAGAGAGAGACGTTGATGGTGTGAATCAGTGATGGACTTCCTCCTCGGGGTGTTGCCCAATAGGAGACGAACCCGCGGAAATATCGAAGACGATGATGACATACCCCAGAGTATGATCGAATAGTTCACTCATCGGATAGACCATGAAAATCACGCACACACGAAAAACCTACAATCAATGTGAAAGATGACGCGCAAGTGGCATAACAGCATACCATGGTACGAGGGGAACAAACTGGACTTGGCGTTAGCAGAGTAAGATGGCGCGAAGTCATCAATCGAAAAACACTTGGAAGCAAGCACAAATGTGACCTGTTAAGTAAAAGTCTTCGATGGGATCTTCCAAAAAAAAATTAAAACAACACGTTTCTAGACAACATCCACACACGGGAATTAGTGAGAGCCTATGAAGCAAGAGGTAGTCTATTCTGTTGGTTCAATGTGCAAATAATGTACGACTGAGCCAATACTATCATCGTCTCCCAAGCCGTGCACCACAACCCTGCCCGAGGAGTCACTTTCGCTGGCTATTGCTAAAGGTTTACGTCATCGGTGTCGAATGAAGAGTGAATGACCAATGCTGGGGGTACGTATACACACCCGTGATGAAACAGCAAGATGTACACGGTGTGACGTATGGTCCTCCCAATATTCCATGTCTACATTCATTCATTCATTCGGCCCGGCAATCTGAATGTTGCCAGAATCAAACGACTTATCTCCGATGCTGTCCTACAGTAGGCAATGTTCAGTAGCACTTGAGGGAAAATATATACACACACAGAAAGACTGTACCCATTCGAGATATACCCACAGTCGAACGGGATGTGGTGGAGTATTTGCAGTGAGTGAAGGAAAACCGGCTGGGTACTGGACTTATTTCGAGTCTTTTTAAGTCTATACACATACGATTTATATCAGTGATGCCAGCTGGTGCTAAGTACAAAAACATCTGTATAGGTAACTTGCATTTAACAATACATCCCCTGTAGTTCTCTACTTGGTCAACGACAAAATATCGGGGAGAATCCCTCCGTTGTGTCTTGTATTATTGTAAAATTCACTGCTCTTGTATATCGTAGATCTTATATGTGTCGGTTCGAATGTAGGTTCGAATGTAGCGTACGTATGTGTATGCGGAGGAATTACTCTCACAGTATCAGTGTATAGACTTAAAAAGACTCGAAATAAGTCCAGTACCCAGCCGGTTTCCCTCCACTCACTGAAAAGACTCCACCTCATCCCGTTCGACTGTGGGTATATCTCGAATGGGTACAGTCTTTCTGTGTGTGTTTTTATTATTCCTTTATTCTCTGCGTGGTGCGTGGTAGCCGAATAGCTCACTCTCTCGTGTGATCCTTCCGGGTTGTGTTGGCCACCTAAGCGCCAGTGTTCCAGTATCTCAACATCTTCTTCACTCCGTGGAAGGACTCTCGTCTTCCAGGCTACCCTCTCGCACGTGTCATCACCTCGACTAACGTCGTCGACACAGCCTCTACACCACCGTGCCAGGGTATTACACAATATCCATAATGAGTTATGAGCCTCGACCGTGTGTGTCTGGAGGCCTGCGGCGACTGCGTCTTCTGCTGGTGTCGAGCACTGTGGAGAACACACACATCTTCCAGCTTGGGTATTCTCCGCGGGGAGCTACCGTCGGAGTCGTAGGTTGAGGATCTGACCAGGCCTGTTTGCACCCGTGCAGCAGCCACAAGTCTGCGCCGAAAGACGCGTCGCAAGTCTAAGCAGCACACCTGACCCGTGTGCCTGCAGGACGAAGCCGGAGTTGGCAACTTCGTCGCCGCAACACCGCAGCCTAGCCACCTGCGGTAGGTCATAGCTGTGCTCGTAGTAGCGCAGTAGTCCGAGCGGATGCTGCATCGCTTGCGCTGGACGTGGGGTGTACGCTTCGAAGCTGCGACCTGCACCAAGCCTACCTCTGTGTAGCATAGCACCGTTTTGTTCTGGCGCGTCGAACCTTCGCAGGTAATCGAGGCGTCTTTCGTGTGCTGCAAACCGTATAACGCTCGGCGTGTGACCCTGGTTTCAGTGATGGCGGAATCCTCGAGCTCCGGGCTCCACCGCATGCTGGACTCCGTTGGGAAATGCGCGGGACGTTCGGGTTTTCGCGAGTGGAAGATCAAGCTTCGACAAGCAATCATCCTCCACGCGCCGGAGCTTCTCCCCGTCCTCAACGGAAACGCGCGTCCTTCGGCAACCGCGGCGAACGCGGAGGATGTGGCCGCGTGGGATAAGGCCAACGGTCGCCTGTTCTCCCTCCTCTTCTTCGTGACCTCCGGGTCTGCGCAGCTCACCGTCCGCAGTCACGAAGGGGCGGCGGATAGTGACATGGGGGATGGGACGGCGGCCTGGCCTGGAGAACCCTCAAGAAGCGTTTCGATGCTCAAACCCAGGAAGCTCCGCGTGCGTGTCACAACGAGCTGTTCAACCTGCGACACCTTGCGGGCGGTGATCCCATTGACTTCTTCACAACGGGGTGGGATCTCAAGCTTCGCCTGTTTCGGACCCTGTCTACCTGGACATCATGCTCTCAGGCCTGACCAAGGCCCCGGAGTTCAAGTTCATCAGGGAGATGCACTACCGCGACAATTTTACTTCAGTAGACAGTCTCCAGGCGACGGCTAACCGCTTTTTTGTGGATCAACAGTCGTGCAACGCGTCGGGCCCCGTGGTCTCGGGCCGGGGGGCTGCGATGGCGGTCGCGTCCGACACCGACCAGTGCCGCCGATGCAAGGCGTACAGACACTTCCAGCGCGATTGTCCCCAACAGGTCCAAACGAGCCGTGCTAAGCAGGGCAAGACGAAGGGAGCCAACAAGCGAGGAAGTGGTGGGAGTGCACAGCCAAAGTGGTGCTCCTACCACAACACCAAGACTCACAGCGATACTGAGTGCCAGAAGCAAAAGGAGATCCGGGAAAACAAGCAAAAGGAGCTTGAAGGGTTGGCGGCGAACCTGACGCTCCTGCAGTCAGCTGGCCATGCCAACTTTCTGCAACTCTCCAATATCGGGAGTGCTCACCTGGCGCAATCGTCTCCGGCGGTGGCGCAACAGGCTCCGACAGAGCCTACTTCGTTCGGGGTCTCCTTCAACCCCCTCGGAACTTCCTTGGTGGAGGCAACCTCGTCGTCTGCCTCTTCCCAGCCACCTCCGGCGGCGTCTGCCGCCGCACAGGCGGCACCTGCATCTGCCTCATCAACGTCGAGTGCGCAGGACCACCGACTGCCTTCAGGGTTCTTCGGTGCGTTCATGGCGACTCAAACAGAGTTGTCGCTTGCTCCTTTTCGCTTCGACGGTTCGTCCGTTCGGATGGTTGTGGACAGTGGAGCGACAGACATCTACCTCGACCCTGGGCTTACACCAGGATTGCGGGCTCACATGCGCGACGTCGAACACCTTCGGGTCCCACACACGATCGTCGCCGCGGGCCAGCATGTCCTCAAAGGCGTTGCGACGGGGACTATCTTCGGCGCCGTCACGGACGACAATGGGAACGACCGGCACGTCTCCTTTCGCGTCATCTTGGTACCAGTACTAGGCACCAACCTCTTCTCCGTGACATTGGCGATGCTAAATGGGGTGGCGACGTTGTTTCATCCGGACAACCCCAGGTTGGAGTCGGGGGACGTGGTTTTCCCGATGCAGAACCTCGGGGTGGACGCCACGACCGGAAAACGCGTCTACTCCATCGAGGTGAAGCTAGGGGGTGAACCTGGGGGCCCGACGGTCCTCGGAGACGCCCCTGATGCCCTCGCCTTGAAGGTGGACTCCGCTGGTCTCTGGCACCGGCGCATGGGGCACATCAACGGTAAGAGCTCGGACGTTCTAAGGAAAGAACCGGTCAACGGCGTCGACTACACCGGAGACGTGAAGGATTGTAGTGCCTGCCCGCTCGGAAAGAGCGCACAACAACCTCACCCAAATCAGGCCACCTACGGCGCCTTGCGCCCCTTTCAGCACGTCTCCGTCGACACCCTTGGCCCCTTCACACCTACAGCGTTGGGTGGATTCAAGTACGACACCAAATCCGTGGACCAGCAGACCAAGTGGGCGGAGATAGTACTCATGAAGGACAAGACCTGTTCTGTAGACTCCCTCGCGTTGTTCAACAAAGGGACCGTGGTTCCTACCGGAGAACACATTCATTGCCTCCGCGGGGATCAGGGCACAGAATTCACGAGTGCGGAATTCCGTCAGTACTGTCAAGATATCGGCATCAAGCGGGAGTTCGCCTCTTCGAACACCCCTCAGCAGATCGGAGCCAACGAGCGTGCGGGTCGGACGATATTGAATATCGTGCGCTGTCTGCTCGCTGACTCAACTCTACCGAACTTCCTTGGGGGGGAGCTGATCCAGACGGCAGTCTACCTGAGCAACCGGGTTCCTCATGCAGCCCTGCAAAACGGGACGCCGTACAAGGCGCTCTACGGCAAGGATGCCTACCTTGGTCACCTTCGGGTGATAGGGTCAAGGGCGTTCGTGCACGACGAGACCCACCCCAGGAAGCTGGAGTACCGTGCTTGGGAAGGACGCCTTGTTGGATACAGCATGGACAGCAAGTCGTACCGAATCTACAACTCTGAGACGCGACGTGTACGGGTGAGTCAAAATGTTGTCTTCATTGAGACACCTCCCGTTGCGCCTGCGTTGAATGAGGGTGGCTTCGACAACAGAGAGTTCACGTACGCCAACCACGACGACATGGTAAGAGACGTGCGAAACTACACTTTCAACCACTCCGTTGATTCGCTCTCTCCTGATCATGACGTTGGGGACATACCTGTGATTGAGCTTCTCAAGCAAATCCGTGAGACAACCAACCGTGACCTTGGGGTTAGTCCTGCAGGAACTCCGCCCACCGACGACGCGCCTAGGACTTCTGGTGGTACACCTACGGGAGGTAGCCCTGCCTCGCCTGGAGGAGTAAACCCCCCTGAAACGGATGACGGGGCGTCTCCTCCTGGTTCGTCACCTGGTCCTACGCCGCTAGGTTCATCGCCTTCTGGCCCTGCTCCGTCTAGTACTGTACCGCCGGGTGGATCTGCGCGTGGGCGCGGTTTGTCTCGTGGTGGCCGAGGTGCTCGTGGTGGGTCTTCGCGAGGAGAATCTGTGCGGGGAGGCATCACGCCGCGTGAAGGTCGCGGCTCGGCAAGTGGAAGTGGTTCTCGTGGTGGAAGAGGGTCCACGTCGGCACCTGCTGTCACCAGGTCGAGTTCGCGCATGCCCAACGCAAAGACCATCCGCGAACTCCGTCGTATCTCCTACGCATTTACCGCGAAAGGGGAGTTCCCTGCCGTCGCCCATAGGGACGGCTCCTTTGGTTTCACGGAATACGCGTACGCTATGGGGGCATCCCAACCGGATGTTCCACGAACGATCCAAGAGGCATGGGCCATGCCGGATGGAGCGCAGTGGAACGCAGCTGCAGAGCGCGAGATCGCGAGTCTCAAGGAACGTCAAGTTTCCAAGCTCGTCCCGCGCAAGGCAGTTCCCACAGGGAGGAAGCGGACTAAGTCCAAATGGGTGTTCAAGCGTAAGGCAGACGGCTCCTTCAAGGGGCGTCTAGTGGCGCAAGGCTGGAACCAAGTGCCTGGACTGGACTGCGGCAACACCTACGCTCCGGTGTGCAAGTTACAGAGCATTCGGATGTTAGCGTGCATAGCCGTGCAATTCAACCTGGAGTTCGATCAAAAGGACGTGTCCACAGCCTCCCTCTACGCGGACATCCTGGAGAACGTGTTCGTCGAACAGCCACCTAGCTTCGAGGTCAAGGACAGAGAATACGAACGCTTTTGAAGAGCTTTTCCTGGTGGGTACCCATGGAACCAAACCAAGGCGTTCGAACGAACACACCTCAATGGTGTAAAAACGGCTACTGACACAAAATTTGAAGATCGCTGCACGTGTAGACGGCGATGCACGGTGTGTTCCACCATCTGTCTGTTTGACAATAGCCGTCAGCTGATGAAGTCGACAACAATACACGTTTCCAAACATATATCCATGGAATCCATGGACGTACATACATAAATCCGTGAGAGCCTAATGAGGCAAGCGTAGAATAGTGTGTCTTTTCTGTTGGGCCAATGGGCAAGAGAGGTATGTACGAGTCGGCCGTAGTGCGAATTGTCTCCCCTTGCATACCGTACACGATGTTCCTGATCGAGGAGTACCTTTCGCTGGCTGTTACTAACTGCTAATCTCAATGGTGTCGAATGAAGGGACGAACGAACATGTCGACATACCCGTGGGTAACCCCAGGACGCTGCACGCAACGTCGGGGAGCGCTGTAGCACCGCTACCCAAAACGTGAAACGTTCCTACATCCCTCCGTTCGACGCGGCAATCTTGCCAGAATCAAAGTTACATCCTTCGAGGCGGTCCCATCGCGAGGAATAGTCGATCAGTGGCGTCAACCTAAGCTCTGCTGGGTGTCGCGTTCCGCGATGGTATACATTGCATTGGCAACAACCAACAGAGGGAGCTTACGATATATCATAGGCCAGAGAAATTCGTAAGAGGGGAGAGAATCGATCCTGTGTATTATACTCTTGCCTACAGGAGTATAGCTCTGTTCCTGTTCGTGCTCGAGGTACGTCGGTCGGTGCCGTTGTGTGGTCCCACGCAGGCAATGCCCCCCCACATCGGTTAGAAGGAAGATAATTTTGATTGCAGCAGTGTGGGGCTACGAAACCAAAGAATCGGCATGGGAATCGTGGTATGAATGAGCGTCTTTTGATGTCGATTGAGAGGACTTGGCAAACTCTTCCGGAACAACAACCGACCTTTGAGCAACCTCCCAGCTAGCGATAGACACTTGAGCTTGAATGATGAACGTGTCGTACTCCCTCCGTCTGTGCAAAAAGAAGGCGACACAAGTGTTTGTTTGTTGTCGTAGGCTGAGCAACCAATCTGATGGTGTATATTGTGAGACGGAAGACGTGCGGCCGCAGCAGATCTACCTCGCACGTTGTTTGCTATTCCTAAACGTTTTCCGCCCTGGAGGAGTGTTAGTTCGGATGCCTTAGCCCGGCTTCCTGGGGTGCCATCAGAAAAATATCGTCAAGACGTCCTCATTCTTCAGTCACGCTTTCGCTCAAGCAAGACTTTTGCAGACGGGTGTCCACCGGGTCCAAGGGCAATGTGTTGATGGACTCACGGATAGCACGCAACCTGCCTTTGACGGTCGCGTAGAGTCCGCAGACGTTCCCTCAAACGTACGCACGAACGGGCGCTTCCCACAATCGAGTTGAGGCCTCCGAAGCAAGCAGCCGCTATGCAGATAGTATCAAGGATACCACCTATTCAGTTCTCCGAGGTTGCTCGGTTCTATTCATCCAACTCGCAGGAGAGAAGCCGCCGTGGATCATCGTGCGGCTTCTGCAGATCCTCAAGCGCCGCGAGAAAGCGGCTGGAGGCCAGAGGAAAACCTTGCGGCAGCAAAACCGGCGAGACCAAGAGAGCAACAACGCATCCAGTGACGCGAAGAAGAAGGTGTGAACTAGAACCATGAGTATCACCGTGTGTGGCTGTTGTCATTTCTTTCCCCGATGTGGTGGACGAACATCGCTGTAGGTATGTACTTCCTCCTTGGTGTGCAGTGGAACCAACAAAAAGTAGTCGAGATCTTTGCCACCTACCTGAGTACTCAAGCACCGTGCAAACACCATCCCCGACCGGATCTCTGTCGTGCATAGACTCCAACGTTAGCATGGTCTGGTCATGGATTAAAACTTCCTCCCGTAACCGGCTTCCTGTCTTCGCTTCTCACTTTTCGTGCTTGGACCAGGGCCGCCCCAGTGCGGCATCATCTCCCACCGCCGATTCGCCCACCTCGCCACCCACCGACAATGCCAATGTCGGTGGCCTGCAGACTTTCGCCGGTCCTGTGCCATCGATCGACGGCACTAGAAGCAGCAGGGTCGTCAGCGGGAATGGAGGAGGAGGGGCAAGGGGCCGTAGCACCGCGGACCCAGGCGGCGAGATCCTCACCCCTCCCTCTCCTCCGCTCCCCGGCCTCGTCCCGGAAACCGGAGAGGCCGAAGCGCATGAGGTAGCGTCTGCGTCCAGCCAGGATTCCAACTACCAAACCTTCGTGCAACTTGGCACCGGCATGGGAAGATCGGCGATGGGCCTGGTCGTTCAAGCGGAACTCACAGCTTTCCTGAAAGCGATGATTAGGGACCGGTTGGATGTCAATTCTCCCGATTCCGATCCGGAACGCCTCGACTACAGATCTCTCCATTGGGCGGCATATTCAGCCAACAAGGACGCGATCGAGATCCTCCTGGACGTAGGAGCGGATATCACGATGACCACGATAGACGTAATAGAAACGGTGCTTCATGTTTCCATCGTCAAGAACAACTACAAAGTCTCCTGACTACTCGTAGAACGTGGCGCCAACGTCAACGCCCAGGACGATCTCAAGCAGACCGTCTTACACCTTCTATCGAGCTGTCCGGGCACAGGCTCCGCAGAGACCACCAGCCTGATGCTGAAGGCGGGTGCAGACGAGACGCTCCGTGACTCCCAAGGCGATATCGCGGCGGAGGTGCTATGCATCGAGACCGAGAGCCTGGAGGATGAGAAGGAGTCGGTAGCGGTGCGAAAGCTGCTGAAGGATGCACCTGCTGACCGAGCATGGCGTCGTCAGGGCTTGATCCTGGATTGGGCCCGGGTGAAAGACGCTGAAAAAGTAGAGGCCTCGAAGAACAGTCGGAAGGTGCACAAGACTGGGAACGACGGGGGGTATCGGTCGTCCGACCACCAGGATGCCCGAAACCCAGAGGCTGGTGCTTGCAGAGTTTGTGTACTGTGGTGGCGTCGATCGTGGCTCTCGACGAGGAGGGCTTTTCTTGGAAAAGTGGTAGCGTCCCTTTGAAATCGAACAGAACACACATGAACAGTCTGAGGTCGATGGCGTAGTGCCACTCTAGCTGAGCCGGAGAGGGGGGGAATCTATGATGCATGGGTTGGTACCCTTCTTGCAGAACTTTGACTCCCACCGCATGAAGAGTCACACGTCTCATATCTATCCCGTGGTTGCGCCAACTAGTGTTCTTGGTGAAAACCAAGCGGTAGCTCGTGAACCGCTCTGAAGAGCTTGCCGCAGGTGCTCGCTTGGAAGCAAGACAGCCTGCTCAGTGCGAGAAGTTGAACACTGCTGAGTGTTGAGCGCACCTCGGTGATCCTCAGAACGATGAAATACAGATTTCCTTGATACTGACTGGCCACAAGGCCGGCTTTAGATGTTTGAAGATGAGAGGGAGAGAGGGAGAGGCCCGCCGGTAAAGGTACCCATTTTTGTTTGTTGTGTTAATGTTTTCATTTAGACAGGTGTTTGGGGAGTTGGCTTGTGACCACGAAAGGCATTCGCGTCAGTTGGACAAGCGCGGGTATTAGAAGGTGCTGAGCGGAAACCAGATCAGCTTTTTGTGTGAAGATAACAACAACGACCTACGGACCCCGAATAGTCACCCACCCACGTTGGGGTCCCCTGACATTTGTTCTGATCATAGGCCGACAGCCCCGTTGGAGCGTGTCACACAGCGTGTGTTCTCGGCTCTATCTAAAGATGGCAAATTCTACATGTACGTCGCCTTTTCGTGAAATCACGAACAGCAGTGTTAGAAAGGGACGTTATGTATTGGAATAGACCCAAGACTCGGGCCCATCGAATACGACAACAGTTATTTGGCAGAGCTTCAGCAAGGGAGTGGGCAGGTAGTGTCGATCGACAGTTTGGCGAATGCACTTGTCGGTGCGCAGACTCGTCAATATTGTGCTAGCGGCCACATATATATTAAGAGTTATTGACGCCGTAACTAACGATGACTGCTTGAAACGTACTTTTTTTAGCATCACGAAAGACTATGTACCGCACCACAACTGGAGATATTGTGTTTCTGTACCGCACCTGAGGTGCTCTCCCGCACAGTCGCGCGAAATCAATTTCCCAGCGTCGACACATCGTCGACATTATCTACGACATCAGATCGGCTGTTCCTCCCGACAATCGAGCCTAGACCACGGCACGCACATGCGAGACGCTCGTCGCTTCAACGCCTCCATTACTGATATCTTGACTGTTTACATGATCGGTGATCGGAAACGCATATATCCTCCGTATTCCGCGAATTTTGAAAGGCGCAACCATCGGTGTCCTGTGCAACGCACAAGTTCGGCATGTCAACCAGCAACAATAGCCAAGACCACGGCATGGTCCTTCCGAGACGCTCGCCATCACCACGTTCATCAGCAGCGATCCCCGTCAGCATGAGGATACCGTAATTGCTCAAGGTACAGTAGCAACGGGACTGTCAAGCTGCAGCACCCCGTTGTGTAAACGTTTAGGCTACATTTCATCCCGCAAGTGTACACATCATCGTCGCCATCTACAAACAAGTTCCGCCTGACACGCACCAGCATGGGATCGAAATCTGTTCCAGACATCGTCACATTGCCGCCATCAGCTACGAAGGCGGCTTGGCAGGTCCTCCAGACGACCTGGTCTCGACCACGGCACATGCCTCCGACACGATCACAAAGCCATCCAAAAGGGGGAGATTAAACACAGAAAGCAACAAAGAGCTATAGCCTACCTGGCGCGCTCCTTCACCCCCGCTTTGTGTTACCCCAGGGTCGAGGTCTGCCTCTCCACCTACCCTCGTCCTACGATTTTTTCCTGAGTTTCGTTGTACAAACAAGTTCAGGCTCTTCCGGTGCGGGTGACGACCGCGTCCGACGAAACTGCGCTATTGGAATCTCGAAAGCGTTTCAGTGGGCCCTTTTGCCACCCAAGGCGTGTGGCAGTGCACACAACTCATGCCATCCAGCTGATGCTCAAAAACGGTTGGCGGGGTTGGGAATTTTTCGGCAGAGGTTAGTTACTGTGCGTAGGTTTCCCGCCTAGCCTACATAGCCCAGCTCTTTTCGACACTTTTGGATGCACTTGAGCACAGCATGTCCATTTCCGCCATTCCCCTAGCGATTCTACGGCGAAGGGAAGACGCCGCACCAAGTGGCGTTAACGGGTCGTGCTCCTCCTCTAGACCTCGATTGATTTTTCGCATTACACCCGTCACGCCGACGTCGGTCGTTGACTGCACGACAACGAAGGCCGCAGGGTCATCTGTGGATGACAGCGGAGGAAGGAATCAAGAGCGGCAGCGGACACCTGTTGTATGAGATGACGACGTGCGCGAGACCATCGCATTCCAAGTGGAAATGGTGAAGCAAAAGAAACACAGAGCCTTTCGGACAGGGCACACCGACAACGCTGGAGATGCGAAATAAGTGCTGTTTGTCACTGTACCATAAACGATAAGGAGACGTTCTTCAGAGCTGGAAAGAACCGACCAACGTCAGGAAACCCTCCACTTCCTAAATAACCGTGGACGGCAAAGTTTGCTGGGCACCTCACAGCGCCAAGGAATGGTCGTACACAACCAAAGAACGAGAAAACAACAGTAGAACTACCAACAGACCACTTATGCAACGATAGTCAATGCCAGTATCCATGGCGTCGTACCAGCGTGCACAAGGCCGCCAGGGTCCTTTGACAAGCCAAAAGCCACCTTCCCGGGTCTATAAACCGAGCAGGAGCAGCGGCAACAGCGATACAACTGAAACATGTACGGTTCACGCCTCACCGTCGAACGCCGCCGTTACGTTCCAGGCTTCGAACTGCTCCGAGAACCAGACCGAGGTTTCCCCGAGAAGCGCGGTGGGGCCAGTGGCGTGGAAGGTGTCGAAGACGCCCCAGTGGTCGAGCGCGGTGCGGTACAACGTGTACTCCGACCACCTGTTGGCGTTGGTTCGATGGATAATCTGAATTTGGTCAGTACTGAGAAGCGAAACACCAAAACATTGGAAAGAATCCATCTGGGGGGAGTTTTCGTTTCAAAACGTCTGGATTGAGGGCATCGAGCTAGGTATACGTCAACGAAAGAGTCGTCACGGGGCCTATCGACTCCCCCAAGTTGTTCGAGCGGTCACGAGGGATTCTGTCACCTTTCCTACGATCTAATTCGAGCCGTGTTCATCTACAAAGCAACTTCCCATTCCTCACTATACAAGAGTCCGCAATCCCTTAACCATCCCCCACACCCTGAATCAAATATTTGTCGCTGGTCCTGTGCTGTATCTGGACGTACCACCCAATGGGAGGCTGTGGATATTCTGTTCTTGAAAAGCATGAACTTACGCGCCAACAATCCCCAACCATCTGCTCGAGTCAACGCAACGACTCCGAATCGACACGAGTGATTATCCTACAATCATTAGGGGTGCTACAGACATCCCTTGGGTTAAGAGACACGGAGATGTGAAGCTCGTCATCGATACTTTCTCAACCACCGGCGTCTACTCGCTCCCAATGCCAAACCCACGAACAATAACTGCAACACCGGCGTTTATTTGCGCGAGAAACGACCGAGACTTTTCAACTCCAGCTCTCACCACCTGCCGGGCTCAACCCACCACCCGTCTAGGACCGTTCGGAGGAAGCCTTCCTTCCCGTGCACCGCCCGCAATCGTTCCAACGCAAGGGCAGCCCCCCTGGTGCTCAGCACCGCCGGGGTCACCCCGAACCCCCCACCGATGGGATTCTCCTCGACGCCCAACGTCTTGGCTGCCTCTGACCACCACGCGGGGTGGACGTTCCTCCTTCGAAGGAGGGCACGCCAATTCCCATCGGTCAATAACCGCGCGAAGGGTCAAAATGGTCAGTTGACGGGGTTCGGGAAAGATGCCTTCGGAGATACTTTTGAAGGAGGAGGCACTGCGAGCAAGGACGTTATTGAAACGTTTCAATCCTGGTGCTGAACAGAGCACGCAACGTGCTGTTGCCATGTTTGGTTGTGGATAGACTACATTCGAACAAACTCAGCCACCAAGTAGGATCCTTATCCGGTGCCCAAACTAATGTAGCATACATGTGCGTTGCGTTGGGTACTACTGGAAGGTTGGACGATAGTTGATGATACTCCACTCCCCTGTGGATGCACACGTAACCATGAAAGATTGGCAGAAACCACAATGTTGCAGGGGTTTTTCGCAACCAAAGATTGCTCTTCTCTTTGTGTGGTGTCATCAAACGGCAACGCATGCAGGTTTTCACCCTCCCGGTCGACCCAGGGAACAACACCGCATACTTGCACATGTTTTCTTGATCATCAACATCTCGGCACAACGAGCCGTGGGACTTTGAATGTGACCCTGTGTTGTTCGCAGGAAAAACCCTGCTATTTTTAACCTCGGCGGTATTCTTACCGTGTTACGTTCGGAAGTTCACATGGAATCATGGGTCCACTCTATTCAAGAAACCGTTGAAGGAAGCTAGCAATCTGGAGAACACCAAGTAAGCCAACAAGCGAAAGATTGTCTTCTTGGGCAACGCCCGGTCCTTGCTTCGCGCACACGTACCCTTCCGGAACGTAGTTCCCCTTGCCTTGCGGTAGCAAGTCTTCCTCCGTGAGCTGGTCCTTGGAGCACAAGACGTCTGCGTCCAGCGTTAGGTAGAACGGTGTTTGCTGCGGTAAGAAAAAGTAAATGCAACACAACCGGAATGCGAGCAAATTAGTTACTGCATAACTTCACTCCGAAATGGCTTCACATGAGTGATTGCAAAACGAGGGGAGAATCGCAGAACTCTGGACGTCAAACAACCAGGCAACGTATTTCGGCGTTGTAGTGTTATTGTGATTTAGCATAGGTTCGCACATTTTCCATTGGGACGCAGAAAGTTCAGCGAACATTCCGTCGATACAACACGCAGCAGCAGAAGAAGCACCAGAGAACTTGGACCATGATGACACCGCACGGACGCTCCCGAGAAACGCTTTGTTTTTCATCCACGGTGGGAACCCTCGGGCAGCGCGGATAGTCACGACAAAGCGACAGGTTGCGCAGGGCATGCATCCAGCTGCTTGACGAGAAAAGAAACTCCGACCCCATTCTCCTCGTTCTTCATCCAATAATACTCGACTTCTTTCGTATGCATACGAACTAGACTACATATTTTCAAACACCGCAATGTTGAAATGATTGAATAAGATGCAGTCTCACGAACTTGAGTACAAGAAGTCGCCGTCTTAACGTCGTTGGGAGTTGAATTAACCCCACCACCATGGCGTCCTCGTTCATGTCGAAGATTGGAGCATGTGCTGCAGTACAGGTAGCGCCCGCACTTATGAACCTCTTATTCTGGCCGAGGCTCGTTTCTTCTCTTCTCTATTTCTAATTTATTTCTTAACTCCCAGGTTCTTAAGCGCGAGTGCTATCTGTACGTCACCACGCACGGAGCAGCCCGGCGCACGTGATTTCAGCGTGTCGTATGCGTACCAACGCAGGTACAGTAGATTATTCGAATCGCGCGTTGGCTAAAGATGAAGCGTTGTGTCACCACGAGCGAGGAGGCCAGGAGCTTGAGGGCCATCTGGACGGAGTACGTGTGCCACCCCGATTCGACCTTGTCCACCCCCGCATTTGAGAGCAGCTGCATTTCGTCCACCATGGTTAACTTCAGATTCCCGGAGTACTTGTCGCAAAAGGCAGACCCTTCAGTGCGCGCGAGGGAGAGCAAGGAGGTACCGTAGGGTGCGACGGAAGTATCATTTGTTGCACCGTCCGGCAGCCTATGGAACACGATAAAAACTTGAGACGAGGACCGCTTACGAGCGTCTGCAGCGATAAGTTCTTCTTTGGTTCCAAAGCAAGTAAGCACACGAAAGAGATGGACAATCGGTTGACTGCAGAACAAACTGCAAGTATGTAGTCTACAAGACAAATCTCCAAGAACGTGCAACCAATGTCGGATATTGATACGGTGCAAGTCGCAAGCAACCTGGCGAGGGATACTGCCCACCTCGGGTCTAACACGACCACCACCGTCGGAATAGCGGGGTCTACGAAGAGACCCGAGGCAACCCCGAAAGCGTCTCTAGGCCGCACAGTACTCATCCCCCCCCCTCCTGTCCTCGGGGGAGGGTAAAAGGGGCAGCCAGCGGCTGGAGCCAGCAGCGTCAAGCATCATCTTCGCTGGAACTTATGACAGTGAAAGTACTAGTGTCAACGAAGGACACGTACTGTAGGACGGTCCTGACCGCGCCCTGTGGACTCCTCACCCATTCTGCCGTTGCCGACCCTGTTGCAGATGGTTGCCTCGATTTGAGCAAGCTCAGCGCCAGGCACGACCACGAAAAAGTCTCGAAACAGGGCCATCGCACCACAGGCTTGTAGTGTAGTTATGAGTAGTGTCGCAAGGCGAGCATCCTTGAGGGTCAAAACAAGGACGGCCGAGACTCTGCTGTTCCGCGCCGTTTGCGACGTAAGCGGCGGCGTAGCTCCTGGATCCGATGGCGTTGTTGACGAAGGTATTGCTGGTGTTGTCGCAGCAGTGTTACCAGCGCCGTCCGATGCACGATTACGGACACCAACGGTAGCAGTCGCATCTGTGACGACGATGCCCGATGGGAGCACAGCAGTAGGGCCGGCCAAACGCTTGCTGCTGCTGTGGCTCTCAGAAGAGCCTTTGACAGACGAGAATGGTTCGTCTTTCACGGTCAGGACACCATGTTCATCAGCAGCAACCGGTGGCTGTGCCTGTCCGCTAGACACGTTGTCGCGCTCATTTCGGCAGCTGCTCACCGCGTCGACGACCGTGGTATGGGAGGCGAACGGGATGATCAGTACGAGAAGGACAACCACAAGAAGGTCCCGACAACTTGGATTGTGTAACTCTTCCCCTGCGTCCGTCCGCCCTCTCATCGCGTCATGCCTCGGGTCTCGCAATGTGTCCCCGACAGGCGTACATTTGTATCGTCGATACCGCCGCATGATCGGCAACAGTTTGTCCCGCTCTTATTGCCTGCTGCTGCTGCTGCCGCTGCTGCTTGTTGTGAATGTACTGTAGTCTGTTGGTTTCTTGGTCGCTCTTCAATGTACGGCTCTGGCATATATTCCTCTGGGGGCGGATTGCGAGTAGTAGTGCAGCCGCCAACAGCGCGTCTTGCGTAGGCTGCAAGGTGGCAGGAAGCTAGCGGCAACAGCGGCAAGGCACACACAGCTTTCGCGTGGAGCAGGTTTGGTTCGTTGGGGGAGCGTAGACGGGGTGTTCCAAAAGATACGGTGGAGGCATTTCAGACAAAAACGGAGTGTGGGGTTCCATTTGTATGAGGGTCCGCGGCAGCAAGGGGCGGGGACTCTCTCCTCTCTACCCTCTCTCTCTCTCTCTCTCTACGCTACCCAGATCAACACGATTTTTTCCAGTTCTCTCATGGTTTCGAAGTTGTCCTTTTTTCTGCGTATGCGGGGGGGTATGGGGTACGCTCAACGTCTACTAGTCACGCAACCAATAGACTAGACATTGACCACCATGCACTCGCTCGCACCTGGTAAACACAACGAAGCGATTGACTGAAACCGGGGAGCAACGACACTCACCCTCGATCCTTCTTCCCGCTTTCTGAGTGGTCAACGGCTTTTACTTCTGCCGCACATCACAAAACGACAGCAGTGTGACAAAAGATTGTAATCAATCTTTCGCATGTGGGAAAGGCGTACAGTACCCAACCGCGGAGCCTCCCAAATAAATGCCCCGCTCCCTGCTCCATCGGATCAAGTAATCTACTGGCAACCCGTGTGCGAGTGTATAAAGCCGCATGCAGGGTACACCACATACGGGTTGGTAGCAGGTACACTGCTAGACTATACAGCACCCGCGAGGGTATGCCTACTAGCTTCCTACAGTAGGTCTGACGCGTAAATCAACACCCACACGACGAGTACACACGGTGTGTGCGACATTGTAGCAAAGATGGGCAAAGATCGTGCCCTCTATTGTATGTATCGACTTCGAGCACCACAACCGCCACAACCACCGGAACCACACGAAAAAAACTTGAAATTTCGGCGGAACGTGCAGATCGTTCCGGCGTACGCATTTATTGCGTTCCCCACAGTCTCGCCGAAGGCTGCGACAGGTACACACGCCATCACATCCCCTCATCCACCACAACGTTTCTATGTACATCGCTATTGTACATCACCATGGGTGATACCATGGTCTCCGCCATCGATGGACGACACCCCATGACCGACCAACGCCACGTCGTAAGCAGGCGAGTAACACGCGGTGTGCGATAATGTATGCGTATGTACACTAGCAAAGATCGCACAGCATCCAGCAGGAAATACAACTAACTGTTATCTCCTCTCTCCGATCTCCGACCCATGCACACGTGGCGGAGGTTAGGCCAATCATCCATTTTTGTAAGAGATCGGAACGGTTTTTAATGTGAAGACAACAACAACAACAACAACAACAACAACAACAACAACAATAAAGGCCGATACGTGTCTTACCAGGGATATCTTGCCCGATTTGCATATATGTCCAGAAAGTGTGCGGATTCCCCACACTGTTCTTGGGTAAAGCTCAACGGGTATTCTATCTCGGTATCATCCGTATCGACCGTTGCAGGGTGCACACCATCATATTTACCGCCCTCCCTACCAAAAATGTCTTCATGTTGGTCCACTCTAGTTACCATATTGTCAGTCAAAATAAATGTCGTCCATCCCATGTACCTCTTTGTATCAAACTCAAACGGGTAAATATATATTTAGTGGTGTAGTTCCTGCAGCCTTGGCTGCTAGTTCCACCCACCATTCATTTCAAAACTGGAATTCATGCATGAATTAATAATGCAAATATTTTTGCTTCTCTGGAGGCCCGAGCCGTTCCCATAAAGATCCCGGAGGCTTGTTGGTACATACAATGTCATGCCGTTCCCATATTATTGTACAAATCCTTCATCCAAAATATAATCGACCCACTCAATAATCCGTTCCAACACATGATAGTTTTAAACCACCCACATTGTAATTTGTATTGCGCGGGTTTTCCTTGGACCAATGCACGTCTCTAGCAAACGGTGTCTTGTTATTGGCAGCAATTCCCCCATCTCATGAACATGGACTTGAGTCCGAATTTCTGTCCCCTTCCAGGCATGTTAATTTTTCCCGCTGGCACTGACATGCTTTTTTTATTGGTCACCGGTTAGCGCGGTTGATGCTAATAACAAAGACAGACGCACCTTGGACTTGCCAACACCTGGCGTGGATGACTACAGGGCGACAACTCCACGGCTCGCCACCACACCAGCATTGGCAAAGTGATCAATCAATGATCAGTCAGTACGCCTGCCTCTAAAGGCGCAGTGGAAAATGAGACCCTGTTGGCTTGCACTTACTACTAGCTTTTGTGTAATTTACCCCCGGCCATCGGTTCAAGCGACCATGGGTTGTAGGGCGAAGCGAAGAAGCTTGATAGTTTTTTCATTCCTCGTTTCCTCGCCACGCGACACCAAAGGCGGCAATAGCCAGCCTCCGGTGGCAGGTCATAGCCACCACTCTCGAGAACTTCCGCTCACCCAAGCTCACCCACAGTTGGCGTTCGACGAAGAGTGTTCGTAAAAAATACTTCTGAGCGAAGGCAAGAAGAAGGTGCAGAACTCTGCCACGACACCACACCGCCCGCTTCTTCTGCTACGCCCTACACGGGACGCCAGAAGAAGCAGGCCCGTGAGAACTCGCCAAAAAAGGTGAACGCCGGTTGTGCGACCCACGGTGTCCTTGGGGCCGCGTTCTCGGAATGCGGAACGGCGAGAAGGTGCTGGAGATGGTTAAGGCTAGGAACCAACGCCCGACCAAATCAGAGGGCGTGAAAATGCCTAGATAGGAAGAGACACTAAAAACATGCCGCGTATCGCCCAGCTGGTGCTGCTCTCGTTTTCTCTCGTGACGCAATCTTCTCCGTCTCTGGTTGTGAGATGATCGAATATCGTGTATTTTCCGATATTGACCCTATAGTCTATATCGTATTGCGCTTAGCTCAAACCATGGTGCATGTTATATCCCCATCCAGCTCGTGCCTCGTCTGGTCTGCGTAAGCATTTCCCAACCCCCCCCCCGCTACTACTTCTACATAGGGCAGCGACACGCATTCGGTCCTTCCTGGCGTTTGTGGGCCTACTCACCCTGGTAATCGCGCTGCACGAGGCTGGACACCTGGTTGCCGCCCTATCGCAGGGCATCAAGGTGAGGCGGGTCGGGATCAACCTGCAGTCGGGTGTTGAAACAACGGCCACACACGGCTACAAGAGTTCCGGACGCGGGGCCCCCCGTCCCGCCGCCCCCCTCTTTCGTTTGCTCCGCCGCTCTCCATGTTGGGTGGACACGAAAGTTAATGAGAGATGTCAAACGCATCCAAGCTCTTTGGCCTAAAAGCACACTAATATAACGCAAAAATGAGTGTGACGCCCTCTTCACAAAAACACTGGCGATTGAACAAACAGGGAACAGGAAGAATAAAGGTGTATGATAGTTCGTACGTATTCGCCTGGGCAAGAATCATTTAGTTACAGAACAGCAGTCCAGATGCAGGTGCGAAGACTCCGTTGGCAGCGTTTTTGGCGGTGCGGGTGGCTCACCGTGCACGGCGCTCCTTGAGCCCGCGACGGCGGGGTCCAGCGGACAGAGGGTGTCCCGCGGGTTCCGTCCGCGAAAAGGGAGGCCCAACGGGGTCCGGCGGGGAGCTGGTCGGGCCCGTGAATTTTTCGTCTCGATAATAGAGTAGGGTTAACTCCCCCGCTGCGCTGTGAGGCGTCGAGCTGGAGCTTGAGTGAATAACACATACATACCTCTACGTAGCCACTGCTTTGCTGTGTTTTTTTGCTGCACTGAACAGGGGCGGGTGCGCCACTGCTGGCTAGGGCGTCGTCCTTTCGATTCACGTCCTCAGCGCCGGGAGTTTCGTCTTCCGGGGCTGTTGTTGCATGGTATCGGCATCAATACAAGGAGCACAGCACGTGGACGCAAAAAAACGACGAAGAATTTGCTTGGGCACCGCCGGTGTCTCGGCAAAGCCTCGCGAAGGAACCGGCGGCTGCTGCTAGCACCATATGACGCAACCTCACTGCTGCCGCTGCCAGCAAGACGACGACACAACCTCGCTATGCCACCGTGATTGATTGTAATGACACATCAATCTCGCTGCGGCTCAAGGTAGAGAATGGGCGCGTGTTCCCTCGTTTTTTCGTTCTTGCCATCTCCTCGTCAAGGTGGAAGCGTGGTCCGTCGGGCTAGGGCCGAAGCTGTTGTCGTATCGCGCTGCGCCCGGTAAGGACGGCTTCTTGAAGGGCAAGCTTTCGGGTCCGTTCTCTTCCCCCGAAAACGCCGAAGAAAAAAAAGTCTCCAACAGACAAAAAAAAAAAAGAATCAGGAGAAGAAAAAGCCCGAAAGGAGTGGAGGTCAGGTGGTGGCGTGGAGGTGGGGGCTGGTGATGGTGTTTGCTGGTGTTGTTGATGTTGGTGGGGATTGATTGTGGTGGATGATAGTTGGGTTGCTCTCCTGTCATTGATGTTGTTCTTTGTCGTTGTTGTTGGGTTTGTTGTCATGGGTTCTGTTGAGTGCCTGGTGGCGGTCACGCGAACGTGGTACTGCTGTATTTCCGAAGTGGCCGGGAAGCGCCCTTTCGGGAGTGAGGACGGAGCCACCACACATATTATCGTTATCCTGCTACTGTAATATTTTGTTGCGCAAACGCCATGTCTTTGTGCCACTTGGATTGTCGACATAGGCCGAGTACGGCGGGTTTCCTGAGCACGATAACCCATGCTTGCTTTGACGGCCTTTTTACTTCCTATTCATCCCACGTGCGCTGCTGCTGTCGACAACAGCCCGCCATGTCCTGGTGTTGCTTTGACGTTGCTCACTCGAACTGTTTCTTATTTTCGTTGCTCTCAGCTTATTTTGTGCTTTGCGCTGCCGACAGTACGTACTCAGGGCCATCCCGATAGGCGGCTACGTTAGCTTCCCCAACGACTACAGGGTGGATAAGAATGGGGTGGCTACAGAGTTCGATGATCCCGACCTGCTGTTCAACCGGTGAGGGCGGACGGTTGACCAGCGGGGCGGGGGAGACACCGCGATAGACCCGGAGAGGGGGTTGAGTAGACAGAGAGGGCGGAGAGACAGACAGACAGACAGACAGACAGACATACCCAGGGAGGGGAGGGAGAGACAGACAGAGAGGGAAGCAGCACACGAAGGCTTTCAAGAATATCGAGGAGTAAAGACAATGCTAGTGTGGCTCCTGTGGACGACGATTTTGTGGGGAAGGACGCGGTTGTAACGTACGTGGTAATTCAGTCGCAATCAAGAAACGTGCCCCCGGTTGCTGCACCTCATGGTTAACTATGAGCTTTTGGTCGAACTCCGCCGTAAGCCACTGCTTTTCGAGTGCACGAAACAAGTGGACCGCGCCGCGCACACATCGGCCTCCGGAGCATACGCCCGCCACCCTCATGCTGCCACACCCCCCGAAGTCCAAAGGACAGCATGTTCCGCGGTTCAGCGGTTGGTTTGATTTCGCCGCTTTCACGGCCCCCTTTGAAACACGTCTCGTTTTTCTCAGGGGTCCCTTTTCGCGAGCAATTGTTTTCGCGGCGGGGGTCGTGGTTAACTTGGCGGTGGCGTGGGCGTGTGCCTTCTGGGGCGTGACGACCGGCCGGATTGTTCAAGCCCACTACCAGCCAGGCGTGCTCGTCGCGCAGGTGGGCTTGGGTGCAAGCTTCCGAACACGGGGAGAACAACGATTATTTCTTGGGAACCGCACTACTTCTAACCAAAAAAAGTGGACAAAACAATCCGCACCGTTGTGTTGGTTAAGAAGCATGGTCATCGTGTTTTCTTTACAGTGTTATTCGACCCCCTGCTATGTGTCCTGTCCCACCCCCCACCAGAATTGACATCAGCCCTCACCCTTGTTGATTTTGTTTGGAAATTGTTGTTCCATCCCATCCTCCGCAACGTCGACCCGTCACCTCTCTCTCTGGTTTCTTGCTCTTGGCATGTACCGCATTGATTGTTGCAGGTGACGGATCCAAAGGGCGGGGCAGCGGTGGCGGGCATCCAACCAAAGGACATTCTCCTGGCTATCAACGGGAACAGGCTACCGGACAGCAGCACCACGTGAGTTTCGTCTTGCTGTCGCTGACGTCACAGTCGTCGTCGCCGTCGTCGTTGTTGTTTTTGTTGTTGTTGCTGTTGCTGTTTTGTTCTCGAACGTACTGTGCGTCCGGACAAAAGTTGCTTGGCCCCGAGCAGCTCGCGGTGTTGTATCGGTCATCGGTGACCCCTAGTAACTAGAGGACCTACCCATGTATTACAGTAACCGGTCGACCAATGAGAGTATTCTGGTCGTTACGGAACACAATTAGACAAGACATTTAGTCCGCGGGGTCCTTCGACAAAAGGGCGCGCGAGCCGCCGACGGCTACTCGGTACCAGAGCACGGAGTTTGCCGTCCATCGGCGAGGATGAAAAGAGAAGGCCTTTTGATAATTTTCGTCAGTTCCGGCTAGAAATATATCACATATATTCGTGCGTTTCGCTAGTGTTGATTGGGGGGGGGGCGCGTAGTGGACATTATCAAGTCGATCGCCACTTTGCATGACCTGTGAATTGCCTGTCCTGGTGCTTGCCGGGTGGGGGCAGGGTAAGGATTATGTCTGTCTTCAGATTGTTGGGACGCTTCCGCGGTCGAAATCGTCACCATCTCTCTCTCTCTCTCTTTCTCTCTCTCTCTCTCTCTCTCTCTCTCTCTCTCTCTCTCTCTCTCTCTCTCTCTCTCTCTCTTTCTGTCTATTTCTCTCTCTCTCTTTCTCGCCCTCTTTTCTGTTTACGTTGTTGTGGCGCGGGGGGGTCTCGACCACTCCCAGGAGCGTCGAGAGAGCCGTGAGGCTGATCCAGGCGTCCGAGGGAAAGCCTGTGGCGATTGAGGCCGCCCACCAAGGCTCTCGACCGACGACGCAGATGGTTCAGGTGAGGCGCGAGATTTGCCGCACGTGACAAGGTGTACGGTGTGCACGCCACGTCCGACGATTGCGAGATTCACGGTGCCAGACGTAGATGGTTTCGCAGCATGCCCGCCGAGGGCTTTCCGCACACTTTTCACGACGTTGTTATTTGTGGGACTGGCAGGTTGTGTGTAGGAAACCGTCAGCCCCCGTCGCAGCAAGGGCAAAAGCACGTCGAGGTCCGGATTTGCCAAGGTCGCGATGTGTGCGGCGCCGTGTCTTTCGCACCTTGGTTACTGACGTTTCGACCTGTTTCCATGCCTCCGAAGTTCGATACGAGGCCTTCTTGACAGACACCTCACAGACGATCGGGCACCAGCGCGGAACCCCCTTCGCCCTCTTCTTCTTTTGCTCCCGGGCACCATTGTGCCGGGTCTCCGGTACAATTCTCCAGGACATCTGGGGGGGTATTGATACTTTTCCACTCGAACGGTCTCATCGGCACCAGAACAGTCTCCACAATTTTTCTTGGTGTTCCCCCACCCCCACCCCGGCCAGACCGCTATCGGGATGTCGGGAAAGTACGTGGTGGGCGTCCTCCTCGCCGCCAACCTGGAGTCCGTGGACAGAAGGACGGCGGACACCCTCGTGGAGGCTGCTGGTGTGGCCTTCAAGAGGATGGCCGCGTTGTCGTCAAGGACTTTCGATCCGTATATTAGGCTCGTTCGAGGCGGCAGGCGGAAGACTTGTGAGTTCGTCGTTGCGGTCGTCGTTGCTGTGGTCGCTGGCGTTATCGCCCTCTGTCACCATGCCGTCTCCATGAACGAGTCCGGTGTCAATCTCTCAAATCTGTGCTGTACGCTCCCTTCTTTCTTCTCACACTTGTCTCCTGTTCTTGTTATTGTGTTGTTATTGCTGTCGTTGTAGCTGTTGTTGCGCGGTTGTCGAAGCTTCACCCCCGAAGGCTGTTTTTGCTCTCAGAGACGATAGTTCCAAATGTCACGCTCCGAGCACCACGCCGTTGTAAAATTCTGGGTACAAACGAACTCCACGTTAATCACTACGCTGAGTTTCTCTCGAGGTGCGCTGTCCGTCTTTTCTTTCTTTGTTTGGCGGTTTTCTGCAGCTGCTCCGGCCCTGTCGAGATCGTCGCGGTGCGGGAGGACGTAGCCCAGTCGATCGGGCCATCGGCCCTTCTGTCGTTTGTGGCGATCTCCGTCAACGCTGCGGTGATCAACTCTCTCCCCGTCCCGGGGCTGGATGGGGGACACATGGCGTTCATCCTGGCAAAGAGATCCTCAGCGGCAAGAAACTCGACCGGTAAAGTTCGAGCAGTGCTCACGGGAGGCTTCGGGTACATTTGTAGCAGCAGTACGATAGTCTGAGTAGTTGGTGTTGTGGTAGTGGTTGTCGCGTTGTTGTCGTCGTTCTTGGTTGTTGCCGGATTTGACACCCCCGTTGAACCCATGACAATATTCGTTCACTGTACCCGCACGCCAGTTCCTGGCATGCGTACGATTGTTTTTTTGCCCTGCTCTGCCTGCGATTATTCATTCTAGCTACGCCCCCGGCGTCTAAAATTAAAGTTGAGCAAGTCCTACTGTAGACAAAACTGGACCAGCCAGCGAAATATTTGTTGCCCTTCATGTCGACGCACACATGTCAGCTAGCGACACAACACCGGTGGGGATCTTCAGCCATTCAGGTGTGCCTTGTTGTGTGCTTCGGCGGGACCCAAAATGCCCCTCAACGTGTGCGTGTCTGATGGTATGTACTTCGAAGTTGCGATAACTCACGCGCACAGAACTCAAGATACAAGCGTAGAATACGGAATGTCTTGACACAAGCTTGTTTAGTACATGTTCTGCCCGTTTGATCAGTGTGGCTGTTGTAGGCCTAACCCAACGTCTGTACCGACCCTATCATGCCGTCGCGCACTGCCATCTCTACCCCCACCCCCTGACGCTAAAACACCTCTCCGACAATAGAGGCGTCTACGACGTGATCAACGGGGTTGGGCTTCTGATTGTCTTCGGCATCGACCTCGCCGCCTTCGCCCGCGATGTGGGCATCGCCCCTCTCTTCCAACGGAGCTTGAGCGGGGCGTTACGATGTGTTCGTGACGGGGTTGGGCTACTTATCGTCTTCGGCATCAGCCTCGTCACCTTCGCCCGCGACCTGGGCATCGCCGCTCTCTTCGAACGGATCTTGAGCGGGGCGCTACGACGTGTTCGTGAGGTGGATTATGTCATCCTTGCGAAGGCTATTGCTGTAACAATCATGTGTCGTGTGCTTGAGGAATGAAATATGAATGTCGCAGTTCCAGGACGCAGATCTTCGGGGTACATTCCGTTATAGACTATCTTTGGCAAGTTGTGTGGTGTTCCGAGTTCTGGATGCGTCTTTACGGCTGTGGATTTCTTGCAACTGCTGTTGCTTGCGTGCTTGGGTGCTCGACGCACCTGGTGCGCACTCTCTTCTGCGTCCGTGTCTTCAAGAGGCAACCTACATAATAAACATCAACATCTCTCCATGTCTGTCAACCGGGTCAGCCGTGCTCATCAAGCAGCACTAGGCTTGGGGGTCTATCAACACGATGAGACTCGGGAGCGCTGAAGTGAGGGAGCTGTATGAATGAATCGTGTTTGGGAAGACACGACGATTGAAGATCGTCGTGACGCCGCGAGATAGTGTGGTGTTGCTGTCGAGTGCCGAGTACGGATATTGGAAGATTTTGGGCGGAGACGGGAGCGTTTTTTTTTTCGTAATGACAACAACAACAACAACAACAACGCCCCGGAGTGTCAAGAGGAGCAGCACGGGCACCATGGAATACGCAATTGGGGATAATGGGAGACGCTCTGAAGTTGTTTACCGCTTCCATGGAAGCACCCGATATCAACAGCGCGTTGCTTCCATGGAAGTTGAATTTCGGACTTCCAAGGAAGCGCGACGAGCTTCCATGAAAGTACTATTTTCATGGAAGCTCGTCGCTTGACAGAGTCGCTGCTACTTCCATGGGAGCACGAAAACTCTCCCATCAAAGCAACTTCCATGGGAGTTTGTGACAGAGGTCGAAACCGACTTCCGTGGACGCACCGAAAATTCCATGAAAGCAACTTCCACCGAAGCGCCTGGACAAGTGGTCATTCCAGCTTCCCTACCCTAACCCTGACCCTAACCCTAACCCCAAAGCAACACCACACACACGGAAGCGCCTGGACATACAGTCTAGTCATTCCAGCTTCGCTACCCTAACCATTACCCTATAACCCTAACCCCGATAAGACCGTGGCGGAAGTTAACCCGAGGTTGAATACTTCCATGCATGGAAGCTGCCCTAAACCTGTTTTGAATAGCTTCCATGGAAGCCTAAGGTTCGACTTCCATGGGGTTTTCATTGGACTTCCGTGGAAGTTAACTTCCGTGGAAGTGGTACATATCTTTCGTTCCATGGAAGTGCATATCGGTTCCACGGAAGTGTCGTATCGCGCTAGTGCGAAACGTGTAGCTTCCATGGAATTGTTATCAGCTTCCATGGAAGTAGATCCAACTTCCGTGGAAGCTGATACTTTTTCCATGGAAGCGGTACACATTTATTTGTCAAATAGTGTAGGAGATCCGGGCGACAAGCCGCAGAGTATGTGGTCCTGCTCTCTCTCGCTGCAGCCAGCGCGGTTTTCGCCTTCTTGTTCGCATAAGTTACATGATGAAGATTTCGTGCTGTCTCGGTCAGGGGGGAAGTACACTACACGTGGCGACAAGCTCCGCGATGGGACCACTCTGCACGTGCAGGTCTTCGAGCGTGGCAGAAACCAACTCTAGTCGGCGGCTGCATCTGCACCACCATGAACCGTCACTTACCCAAGAGGAAATTCACTCCCGACACCACAGGGTACATCAACTGCTGCAGTGTTCACGAGACCCCTGGCAGAGGAGACACAGCACCAAGACGAGGACAAAAGATGAACATCACATATATTATTGTGCCTGGCCTGAGTGTAGCACGCAGCGTACGCAGCCAGAGGAAAACTCTGGAAAGTCAACAAAATCTACAGAGAGTACGGTTCGTGACACATTACACGCCAAGAGAGTGAGTGCTCCACCGCTTCCAAAAGCTTGCATGGCCTGCTGTTGCACGTGAAGCTGCGAGCAACACCCGGTTTATCGGTGCCCCACGTAAGGGAAGCGTGGCCTAACGCATGCACGTCACAAGTAGGCGTGCCCGACCACTGGCACGAGGAGGGGGCACTCGATCAACATCACAATCAATCAAACCAGAACTATTCACTCATCTGTTGAGTCTACTATTGGAACAACACCACGTGTATGAAAGCGCACAATGGACGACTCCTTTAGTTACGTTTGCACCCCCGCCATACGATTTTACTAGAGCAGCATTGGCGATTTCTCCGAGCAACATCAGCAGCGAGTGGCCATGCTATGCCTTGCTGAAGCCATCGACACTTCCCACGAGACTAACCCCGTCGTGCGAAGAACTCACCCCAACTTCCAGGCGTGAATGAGGAGACGGTGGCCAACCGAGTGTTCCACCTCGAGGGTTACGCTTAGAGTACTTCAGACCAGACACAGCCTTGCCTCAAAATCGCCGCGACCAAGATCAACCATTCCTTGACGTTTAAAAGGACGCCCATTTAAAACAAACACAACGCCAGGCATGCATGGCATGTCAACTTTGGAAAAAAAATGCGTACCCTTGATTCCGCTACTCTCGCGAGAGACCAACCAACGCTATCGCACAGGAAGCTGCGACTAGACAAGCACCACTTCTCACCAATGCAGCGCGCCGACCTGGATGCATGTTCCGCCGTGCGCGGCGCAGTACATGTCAAAAGCCGAAGATGCTCTCTCGCGCTAAGGCCACCCCAACAAAAGAACCCTTAACGCATCCCCTGCTCCTGAAACCTGGGGGAATGCACGCGTCTCCTTTTCCTCCTCGAGGATCCAGAAATCCACTCACACGCCACCACAACGGCCAATCACGACCCGACGAACAGTCTTACGATAGCATCTAGGATAAGACAAAACACTAAGCCACAGCTGTATCACTCCCGACCACCCACTGCGCCCCTTCTAGTAGCCGTTATGCCGGCAATAGTGATTCCCCCCACCCAAACCGGTGAGCGATTCCCTGAGGCTTCCTGTCACCACGTGAGCAGCCAGCCAGGCCCCAAGACCTACACAACCAAAAAAACAGGCCCCTACGCCCGCCTATCCTACCGATACAGACAACCGACCCAGACTTTCCGCCGATGCACGCATAACAGCAAGCCGACGCGCATCGCGCCAGCCTTGAACAGCGCTTCCCCCCCCCCCCCAAGCCTCAACACCGGCTCAACGGACCGGGTCACCGTGCACGCGGAAGCCGTAGAGGCAGGTCCACGCCCCGCCGTGGTTGCTCTGCACCTCGAGCGTAACCCACCCAACGGGGGGTACCACCGCCTGCGCCTCCTCCCCCCTCCCTTCCCCCACCGCGAACGTCTGCACCCCCGGAGCCCCTTCCCCGACCTGGTACTCGGCGCCGGCCAGGAGCACGTGCGGCGACAGCAGCGCCTCGCCCCCTCCGTCGCCCCCGCCGCCGACGAGAGACGCCGTGGTCGTCGCCGTGCCGGCGGGGTCAGCGTCCCAGCCCAGGATCCTGAAGGCGCGGGGGGCGCTCTGCGCCGCCGTCGGAGCGGACGCAGCGCGCGCGTGCTCGATGGACACGTGGGTCACCCTGACGAACCCGGCCGCTGTCGTCGTCGCCGCACCGGGGTTTCCATCTCCGCCGCTGCTGCGCGGCGGCGGCGGCGGCGGGCGGGCGAGCTCGACGGTCAGCCTCCCCTCCCCGCCCTTGAACGCGAAGCAGGAGCCGAGGGAGTTGGAGGCCGACAGCGCGGCGTCGCCGTCCTCGGCGTATACCCGGCCGGGCACCCTGAGCATGTGCAGCAGGTAGTCGTGCCACTCCAGCTCCGTGCTCGCCAGGGTCTTGGACGTGAGCCACCCCTTCTTCTCGACCATGCCGTCGCCCTGCTGTGCCTCACCGTCATAGGCAGGCGCCACGGGGAAAGGGCCGTAAACGACTTTGGCTCCGGGGGTAAGGGAAGCGTAGTCCGGCATTCCCGTGCCTCCCGACGAGAACATCTGACGGTGTTCATCGGAAAGTCGGTGCGGTCATGGGGCAAGGAGGAAGACGATTAACGGGGGGGGAGGGGGGGGGTGTACTCATGTCTTCGCGACTAGATCATTTGACCACGCGTCCCAGAGAGGACGGAGGACAGAGGGGGGGGCGAAGAGGTGCCACCCAACATACCGGCCGGCACAAGTGATAGTTTCGCGCGCACAGCATCGGTTGGGCTGGTATCGATGCGACAAGTCTATGGCCAACGCAACCCGTCAGCAAAGGAGAAAACGACAGTGGCTTCAGAGACAGTCCCAACATGACCATGGGGCTGATATGTGGAACAAAACACCAGTGCTTGCACAGAACCAAAGCTGGGTTTCGTGGAAACGAAGCAGCGGAGCGCGATGTACAAACACCATTGTCTGCACGAACCAAGCCGCATACCTGGTACACATGTCTCATGGAATGGGGACCGCGGGATCGCGATGCACAAAAAACGCCGGTGTGTGCATGGCAACCAAGCTACGATACACAAGGCTCGCGGAAACGGGGTGAGAGAAACAGGCGTACCTCTACTTCCCGAGCAACGAGCTCCTCGGCTTCCTCGACAGTCGCCAATACCCCTGCCTCCTTAGACACAGCGTCCCGTCCGCCGTGCTCGCCCGTGGCCTCCGCCTCTCCCCACTTAAGCGCAACCTGTCCCAGCCCATACAGATAGTGCGGAGAAAGCAACGTGCGGCGTCAAAACAGCAGCAGCAGGCAGCAGCAGCAGCAGCAGACAGCAGCAGCAGCAGCAGCAGCAGCGGAAACCAGGAGCAGAGCTAGCTCTCAACACTACACGTCAGGCGGCGGTCAAAACGCCGAAAGAAGCAGCCACAGCAGCGACAGTAGCAGCAGCAGCAGCAGCAGCAGCAACCACAGGAACGGCAGCAACGGCAGCAACGGCAGCGACAGCAAGGGAAGGACCAACACTCCTCGTACACCAACCCTGTGCAGCACTTCCCCTACCTCTTGGGCAGCGATGGCCTCAACCCTCGTCTGCAGGTTTCTATCCCCGTCCGCAGCGGCGGCAGCATCGGCAGCTGTAGAGGCAGATAGCCCGGCGTCCTCTACCAGGCGGACGTAAGCGCCGCCCTCCTGCGCCCAGCGGGAAGAAAAAAAAACATCAACAGCGCGGCGGGATTTCATGTCAAATTGTGGCGACCACGGCATGGAACACCGAAGCAGGTCGAGAACCACCGCGAAAGATTGGAACATCTTTTCCTCATATGCTCTCGCCCGGGGTTGCGTCACTTGCCCTCCTATCACAAGAACAACACTCACTGCTTCACCGCGGAACGAACACGTGGGATGGCACGGTACATAGCGTCTCCCCACCCCCCCCCGTGCCATGCATGACAATCTTATCGCCAACCCAAAGCTGTCTCACAGCACAACAACCTCACTCCACTCCACTCTTGTCGTGCCGCCGGCCCTCTGCAAGCTTGGACCTGCGCTGCGGACCTCTGTGTCAGCGTTGCAGGGTTGCCATGTGCTCGCCCTTGTAAGAACGGCATGTCCATGATGGAACGAACACGGTATCGACCACCACCACTGTCACACTCCCAACCCACCCCAAACCGCCGCCAATACTCCAACCTCCCACTGCTGCTCATAAACACCGACAACACCCACACACGCGCACAGCACAGTCTTTTCATTGGTCAGACCGTAAGCGTGGTCGATGCCACTTCAAACACACACATACGCGCATGCTTCGCATCCCGCTACAAGACTGACCTTTTCTCATTTTGTCAGCCTGTTAGCGCGGGCAATACTAACAAAAAATATTTAAAATAAACGTACGCACCATAACGCCGGGCTTCGCGGCTGCCACGTCCATTATCGAGTTGACAGTCCCGAGGATGCCCTCCAGGTCGAGGAAAGCCTCTTCCAGGGGCCCTTCAAAGCCCGCCTTCCACGTCTCGTCGGCGTCCAGCTCAGACTCCTCCGTCTCCTCCGTGGACACGTGCTGGTGGGACGACGGGGAGCGGGACACGAGTGCCTCGAGCTCTTGCGCCGCGCCGGTGGTCCATTGCTCGCCCTCTTCGACCGCGTTGCTGTTGTTGTAGTCCACATTGTTGTTGTTGTAGTCCACATTGTTGTTGTTGTTGTTGTTGTTGTCCACATTGTTGTTGTGTTGTCCACGTTGTTGTTGTTGCGCCCGCCGATGGACAAGGGGGTGCAATCATGAGACAACGCGGGAGTTGCACGCACGCACAGGGGTGGGGCGGGAGAGACGAGGGGCCGGAGCGATCACTCACACGACAGGGAGAAGAAAAGCGAAACGGGGCTGTGGCACGCATGTGCCGTAGACGAGAGCGCATCATGACACCAAAAATTCCAAGCACGAACCTCAACAAAAACCCTCCACGTAAAATACCGAGTCACAGGCATAGGGAGAAACAGCCTAGATTGGAGAAAAGAATATATTGGAAAACCAAGTGGAAAGCTGCACATCATCATGGCATCATGGCCCCGTACTCTGCCCTACGCAAGCGTCGCTACCGTAGACCCGTCGTCGGCACTGCCCTCCCTCCATGTGATTTCGACAAACAAGCATATGGCTCCACCACCGAACGATCCCAGTGATTTTGCCGAAAAAACAATCACGAACAACTACTGTGCCGAATAGACCAGAGCTGTAAAGAGGGGCTGGCCTTTCATACGCGGCACAACTAGAGACAGATACGCAGGCGTCGAGGGAAAACGTTGGGAGGGGGGAGGGGGGGGGGGCAGGGGGGGAAAAAAGTTTGCAATACTCCACCCGCCAACTCAGAGGT